CATGCTTTTTAAGGATGGTTCCTGCATCTGCACATTGCGGAGAGATTTTCAGCTGTATCCTGCATTTGTGATCTTGTTTCTGATACCTGTTTGACCCAGCTTGATTCCTGACTCTGCTGCTTGCTGCCAGCCTTGTGACCTCAGCTTGTGCTCTGACCATTCTTCCATCTCCTGATTTGGTACCACTCTAGACACAAGTGTATGATCTGGCCTGCTCCTGACATCGCTTCCTTCTTCTGTACCATGCTGCCCGCACGCTACCGATCTGTTTTTTTCCTGACTTCGCTTCAGCTCCTCACACCAGTGCTGTCTGATCTGCTATCAACCATAAGCTACGTCTGGGATCCAGTCATCACCACCATCATCTCCGGTGTGTCAATCATCCATATCAGCCGCAGGCACTCGTGCCCCTCTTTCTGTACAACTGCTGTTTCAATATTATTACAAAATGAAAGTAGATGGATCTATAAACTACAAGCCACAAAAGCACCTGGTCTTTATGAAATTCTTAGTTATAACCCGTTCCTTTAATAATGTCTTTTTGTTGTACAGAATGGGAAGTAAATCCCTGGAGTTATCAAACCCCTTATGACACAAGTTAGTATTAAATGTAAGAACACCATAAACTAATTTAAAAATTCGCAGCTAGAGAGTACAATAAAGAAAGAGAAATGTGTGTGGGAGAAAAAATGCATTATAAATAGAGGTGCACCAAAATAAAAATTTCAAAACGGAAATGAAACCAAAATTTAAAAAATGTCAGACCGAAAATGTTTTATATTGAGTGTTCCTGTTCATTCATAACATGAGAACATAGTGTGTTTACTATAACCACAATAATGAATGAACAGGAGGTGATGTAGATCACTCCCATTCATTCATAATTGAGGATATAGTCAACATACCATGTCCTCAATTATTTACAAACACTCAGCGATCGCTGAGTGTTTGCATTCGCTCTCCTTCTATCTGCTATTGGAGTATCGGTGTCCATAATTGTCTGCTCTCCTTCCTAACACGCTGTGACAGCAGGCTGAGCGAGTGGAGTCTCCCCCCACAGCGCCCTCCTCTGCTCTGTGACAGGAGGCTGAGTGGTGCAGGGAGGAGAGATGCCGGCGGCTCACAGCTATCTTCTCCCGCAGCGTTCGGCCGCCTGTGATAGTTTCTCACAGGACCGCTGTATCGGCCAGAAAATAGCACTTTCGGCATTATGCCAAAAGTGCCATTTTTCGACCGATATGTTTTGGCGGCCCATATATCAGTGCATCCCTAATTATAAATAACAAATAAAAAAATAAGGAAAATATTCATGCTTTTGAAGCATGTTTTGGACGTGCTCCACCTCTAAATGGGAGGGGCTTTGCATCACATGTGTTGTGACATCACACACCGTGCGGCGGGGATTCACCGTGCGGCTTATACGGGGGAGATTTTAATGGAGCCCGCAGGCATCACATCTCAGGTCACTCAGCTGGGGGGAGATGGATGCATGCAGACTCCATTGTTGACTAGACCCACATATGACATCAAGAGGTAAGCTACTACATATTTTGAAGGCTCTAAAGTTTTGCTAACACCTACCTAAGGATTTTATTATATTAAATGAATACCACTTATGGTTTTATAAATAGGATACCCAATTGCATAACACCCAGTGGGAACATAGAAATTGTGTTCAACACCTAAAAAAAGATTTTGAACTACTTAAACAACGGAAATCCTACCCAGAGAGTCTGTATATAAATATCTGGTAAGAAGTCTAATTATTTAGACTAAACCAAGATTGGAACCCCTGTTTTATTCATTTATTTATCTTTTTATCAAAAAGTATTAACTACCTAAACATCATTTCTATAGATACAAAGTGGGTTCTTGTCTACCTGATCTCCCAGAAGCCGCCCACTGGGACATTGTGCACACCGTTTATAGCTCTCCTACTGCACCTTCGTCTCTATCCCTCCTCTGCTATCCCTCCGCTCCCGTGATTTGCGGGTGATGGATGATCTAATAGCCATGAACTGTTAGGTATGTGGATTCATTAATCAAAAAATTAGTTGAATCATTTTTTTTAAATGGCTTACATATATATATATATATATATGTTGTTGAATTGTACACTATGTAATTGTATAAATTATGGATTTTCTGTACTCTTGAGGAAGCAATACCGCGAAATGCATCAAGTCTGTACATTTAAGTAAATTATTTGTAATAATTATGCAATCAATTGCGTATGTATTCACTGTATTGTACTATATCGTAACAAAACTAACAAAATGGACACATGGTATTCTCTGTTTATAAAGATTTTAATATATACTTATACCAATAAAGATGTATTTTTAGATACAAGTTGTTATTTAATTCTTAGCACCTCGAAAGCCCCAATTTGTTTCTATTTGTTGTAATTTGAGAGTGTAATATTGTCACAGCACCCACTCTTGCTTTCTGGAAGAGGTTATTCAATTCCTCCCTACAATTTTACAAATACAATTATGAACATTGAGCCTGTCAACTAACTTTGATAATAGGGTTGCACAGATACCAAGTACAGTACTCGGTACAAGTACGAGTACATGTACCGATACTTTTGAGCTCCAAGACTAGACTAGAGAAAAATTCAAAAGTTAGGAGGCAGCTGTCATTTGTAAGGAGCACACGGAGCTCCTGGGATTTGTACATCTCTGTTTTAATGTACGATTTTGTTTTTATAAATATAAATAAAGGGATGCACAGATACCAGTTTTGCGAGTACGAGTACTGGTACTTGCCGAGTACTTACAAGTACGAGTACGGATACATTTTTGTTTATTGTCATGTGACAGTTTTTCTAAATCAATACAGACTAATGATTTCAGGACAGTGGTGGAGCGCCAGAGCCAGGTCCAAGCTGCAACCGCTGCAACCCTTGTAGTTCTCATGAAAATGCCAAGTATCTGCACTGGTACTCGAAAAGTATCTGTGTATCCCTATTTGATAAGGTGTAGAACTGTTGGCTGTACACAGTTCACTCGGACAGTTGAAATGTACATTGTTTCATAAGCCTCCTGCAAGTTAGTGGGAGTGTGGCCTGTTCTTCATTGGATGCACCTCCTGGAACCCTGGAGTTATACATCAGTCTGCAGAGGGTAGGGTGACAGAGTTGGCTGTCCTGTGGGAGGAGGGGGGTCTTGTGGTTTGAAATTTCAGCATCTTTCTTTTACTTTGCGCCCATGAAGCACTTTGCAGATTTGAATGTTGGCTACTTTTGTAGAATGCGCACTGGGGGCCATGTGTGCTATGTCTTATATTGCCAATATTATTCTTTATTTTCTGTACCTGTCTGGGATAAACTCTTCTTGTGTAGTTACTGTAGAGGGTGTGAGGGGGGTAGTGAGGTTGGGGGACTTCTTTTTGTTGTTATTTTAGGCCTTGTATTGGCCATATTGTCTTTTGTACTAATTGAAAAATCTTCAAATAAAAATAATTAATATAAGGAGATCCTGTTGCTAGACCATTTATTTGCATAAAAAGCCTCCCTTGTGTAGACATTTAAAAGGCCTCAGACTTCTGCTGGGAGCTATCATCTTGGATGTAAGCAGCCCCAACTCAAGTGACACTCTATAGTATTCCCTTTTGCTCCATTCCTGGCAGCTACATAAAAGGCTATGTAAGGAGGTAAAGGGAGGGATTATTGACCTTTGCTTCTCCCGTAACAGGTACATTAAAGGTTTTGTAAGGAGGGGAGGGGAAGAGTAGCTGGATCAGCACTGATGGTTTTTGACCCTACCAGAGGAAGTGAAGGCTATGACATGGCGGGGGACCGTCCGGGGTGTGGAAGAGGCAGGTGAGAAGTTTGGAAGAATTGTAGTTGTGCTAAATAATTGCCTTATCCTGGAGTGGACGAATACCATAGCAAGGTATATTGGAAGTGAGTATAAATTGTTTATGGAAAGGGAAAAGTCTGCAAAATACTTTATTTTCTGTGCTTTTACTAGCAGTTTTTAAGGTGGCGACAGGGTTTCTTTAATGACATTTGTGCATCTTATGCCAAGCCTGACATTAGTGCCCATGAATCAATAATAATAGAAAGAAAATACCATAAACTAACAGCAAATGTGCTATGAACTTGCGTTGCTGATTTCATAAAAGATAAAAGAATCATATTAAACTTAGAATACTCAAACTAATGATCACATTTTCAAGTTTTTGTAAAAGAACAAAAACATAATAATGAGATAAAGAAATAGAGCTGACTGGTTAGCCTCATATTGGGCTTGATGTATTAAGGGAGGAAAGGCTGTTCATTAAGCAAAGTGTTTACTTTACAAAGAGAATGTTAGTATAAAATAAGGTAAACCTGTGTTCTCTTGTGCAAAGGAAACAGAAAAATGGGATATTCACTAGAACATAACTAGGTATTCAAAGGAAACACAGGCTAAACTTTTTCCTAACATACACTGCCATCCGTCCAGCTTTTGGTGGTATTTAATCACAACTAGGTTTTTAAATTTTTTGCTATATTAAGGAAAAATTACCGAAAATTTTGAAAAATAACCTGTTTTCCCTATGTCAAGCTATAAAAAAAAGTGTTTGTAAAGTGTTTTGCCACCTTTAAAGAAAGTCTCCTCTCCTTTCACAGCTGAACAGTGTGTGAGAGATGAGGGAAGAACGCTGGATACTGAAACATTGTTTTTATTTAGTGATCTGCTGTGATTGGTCACAGCGATCATACACGCCAGAGTCAATTTCACTGGCTCTGCACCAAGATGTTTAAACTACACTGTCCACTGGGCAGTGTGTTTAAACCTGCTTGCTCCTGCGCGCTAGGTGGCCAAAAAAAAGACGGGTATTTACGTAACCCCGCTGGGAGCTGTCTGCCGTCCAGCCGTTCTATTACAATGGGTGGACGGAAACTGGTTAAACAACCAACAAAACAAAAAAGTAATGATTATGATGATTTGACACATTTCATTTGCACAGTTTCATATCACGTTTAGAAGATAATAAAATATAATTACCTGAAAGTACTGAGGACATTGCAGCAAATGCATTGAGCTTCAGTCCACACACAGGATTCCCAGTGTAAACAATTTCCAGTAGCAGAAGCCCCAAACTAATTACCAATAATGTAATATAAATCAGCTCAGAACCCAAGGACAGCCAAAGGATTCCTAAAATGGGGAAGATAAACATAAGGATATTTTGTACAACACTAGCATAAAAATAGGAAGGAATGCCTTCATTGAGGCTGAATGTTTTTTGGCCTTATGAATCATAATCGTGTGCGTTGCTATCTTGTCAATGTTTATCTGGACATATTTGGTCAAGTGTACAATAATCTACCTTCTACCTGCAGACCATGGAGGGGTAGAGGTATCTAATATACTACTACATTGAGTACTGGCTGTGAATTTCAAAGGTAGGTTTGAATCTGACTGGGGCTGCACAGAATGTAGGACTAGCAAGTGCCAGGGCTATCACAATAGTAGCCTATGTATGGTGAGAGGTTCCATGCAGCGATCTAAAAAACAGCATTCTTCTCTATTGTGTCTCACATTCTTGGCACTGGGCTAAAGAAATGCTGACTACTTTTCTGTGGATTAATCTGTGTAGTTCTGGTTGTCACAAGGGGACTCGTAGGTAAATTTTCTATCCTTGCAGTAGCAGCTACAGAACTGGGAAGCACTGTGACTCTATGACTTCATCTGTTAGCACCGCAAAGCTGCCAACCTGCCACAGACCGGAGAAGAAACCACAATAACAAAAACAGGTCTATTTATAGACTATGCGCAGGAACCTTTGTGAAATTCTTTTTTTAAGCTCGTCATAAAATTTTCGATTTTGAGACCAGTCCTGCTGAAAATAGAGCAGAGAGTGGCCCTGTCAGCACCCCTCTGTTCAACAAAAGTCGATTTTCAATTAACTTTTGTCAAAGGAGCTAGGCCAAAAATTTGTTGCGGCTGATTTGCTGCTGTAAGAATATGGGACTTTTTTTTGTTCCAATATCAGCAGCAGTGTAATTTCAGGATTACAGACCATAGGGAAAGAGTTGGGTTGGTGCCCTACAGCAATGACTGGACAAAGAACTAATGTACTAAGCAGGAGGTACACTAAGCTCCTTGTATCCATCTCAAGTTTTCATTTTCAGTTTTGACTGGCGTGAACTTTTACTGGAGTCTGCAGCATGCGTGGACCAACTGGGAATATTTTGCATAAGAGCAAGGCTGTGAGGTCCCTGTGTGTTGTAAAGTAGACACCACTTCAAGCTCACTCCCATGTAGACTATAACTTCAATACAAATTAGTAAACTAAACGTGAAAATGTAGTCCATCACAGGAGGGAGCTTGGAGCGTCGGCTGCTATACAACACACACAGGGACCATGGGGAACAAAAGTAGCCACCCTCCAGAAGGAAGGTCAGTGTCCGCATGAATTCAGAGATGATTTGAGGATATACTGCCAAGTGATGCACAAATAAGCTATATTTGTGTTAATAGTTAAGGTACCTGAATTCATTTTTAAGATTTAACTCCTGAGATTAGTGTCACTTTTATCCTTGGAATGTTATAAAGGGAACAAGAGCTGTACTATAATCCAGGATTAGGCTGTCAGAAGCACATAGGAAACTCAGAAGTGTGGAGGTCTTGAACATCAGTAGATCAATCTTTGGCACATACAGTATGTATTGTAATGGAAATGAGTAAAATGCTACATATTCTTTTATCACATTCAAGAATGAGATCTACATTTATTTAACATTTTACTTGTTGACTAGGTTATTTTCCTAGGAAACAACAACACATGGCATTGAATGGCACCAGTAACTATCTCATGTAAGGTGTTAAAGGAATGTCCCTGGAATATAATATACATTACAGATATTATTAAATATACTCACACTTACCTCTTTCAGCTGGTGGAGTTAATTCCAGAAAACTCCGGCACTTCTCATCTGCAATAATAACGTGTACATGTTTGCAACAGCAAATTATGTTATGTGTAGACCATTAAAAGGCTAATAAGAGTTTCTAAAAACATGTATTGTTACAAAGTACAAAAAAACTATACTAAGCATAAATATTTACCACAATATTACATTGGTAAAGGTATTAATTATGTTACTATTATTATATTAAATATGTAGGAGCGTATTTATCAACTGGCAACTAAGTGGCTCACAAATTATTCACCATTTATGTGCTATGGGTCCCCCAGTTATTAAGCCCATCCCACAGCCAGGCTTTCCTATTTTTCAATAAGAAATCCAGGTCTCAACCAATGTAAGTCATACTCACTGCTTATGAACTGCCTGCCTATAGAAAAACAAATGGATTGCTTGCTTCTACTGCACTGATGTACATGCACTGCCTGGAAACCTCATAAAAATGCACATTTTTCAGACTCATGTTCTGACTTTCCCCATGTAACCCCACACATTTTAACCCCCACCCCAGTGTCAATGTTGAGGATGATTCGCCGCTCATCCAAGTGACTTGCTTAGTTCAAATTAGTGTTGGAAAGCAAAGCAAGCCATTCATTTCTTCCCATTATTCAACAAAAAGCAGGGTGAATACTCCAGCTCTACTTATCAGTGTTCTTAAAAAGTTTTTCTAAGATTTTTGTGTGAGGTAACTTCCAACACTCTCCAAGGTAAATAAACCCTCAACTCAAAATTGTCCATTTATTCAGACCATTCATTAATAACTGTGGGTAGCCTTAAATATGTACTGGTACCTGGTACACAAAACCTCTATGAACAGCATTTGTTACCAAAAGATTATTATCGGCATGTGTGAAAATAGAAACCAGGGGAGAAAGTATTTTCACATGAGGAAAGCAAAGCAACCAGCCTTTGAATGGAAGACACACAGCAATCATGTTTAGTGCAGAGGTCAGCACTATGTGCATTTTACTTTTGAGACATTTATATCACTTTAGTAAGTAGAAGGTATAAGGTATACACTGGCACTTATAGCCTACCCTCTGCTACACTGTCAAGTTGTATATGACTTTTCCACTCCAAGCTCTCTGACTTTAAACTGCAGCAACTATTTCTGCAAGTTAAATCAGCAGCACTCTTTATCAACAGTCACCTCAGCTAGGGGAAGCACATCTAGAAGCCTGCTGGGACTTACTGATCACCTAGAGCTTTCAATCCATTGGAGATTAACACAGCACACGGTTCCAGCAACTGCAGTGTCAGTAATGGGGCCATGACCTGAACACTGGGGACAGCTGAGCAGCCACAGCCACACATGACTTTATAACATGACAGAAGCCCTGTTTGCACTAAGGTTACTTTAGGTAAAACCAATACGCTTCCAGCTCATCAATAACATATACAACACACGCAGCTCACCTTCTCTAAGCATTCTCTGCCAGCACTGTGGTTTAGAAATCCTTGCTCACACTAGTGACGCCTGGTAGACAGCTCCAGCATTGCTCTGTGATGACGTCAAGGCCCAGCAAGGACACTATGTTGTATATGTCAAGTGTGTGTTGACACCTCTCGCAGCAATGTGGCATCTATGTGGCTCCTATTAGAGGCCCTGGATCCCAGGGCGCAGCCTGAGTCAAAAGCATGACTGTCCCAGCAAATCTGGGACAATTGTTAAGTATGCAACAACCATGTAGTGTAAGGACATACCTGACTGGATACAAAATAAATGCACTGTTTAAAACTCTCAAATTTTCTAATTTTGGTAATCAGGCCAATTTTTGTTTCCTTGAGGAAATACACACACACACACACTATATACACACTTGTTTTTTTTTTACTTATCATCATTAACAGGATTATTCACTAAAGGGTGAATAGTGTGGATAAGGCAGGAGAAGTGAGCAATCTAGGACAACATAGCTGAACTGGAAAGTGAGCTGAACTAGATAATTTTTCCAAATCAGCTATATTGTCCTAGAGCAGGGTGCCCACAATTTTTTGTGTTAAGATCTACTTTTCAAATGACGAGCTACATGAGCTCTCACTCCTGGCTGTCTCTCCTTCCCCATCCTCCTGGCTGTCTCTCCTCTCTCTCCTGGCTGTCTTTCCTCGCTCTCTCTCTCCTGGCTGTCTCTCCTTGCTCATCCTCCTGGCTGTCTCTCCTCTCTCTCCTGGCTGTCTTTCCTCGCTCTCTCTCTCTCCTGGCTGTCTTTCCTCGTTTTCTCTTCTGGCTGTCTCTCTTCGCTCTCTTGGCTGTCTTTCCTTGCTCTCTCCCCTAGCTGTCTATCCTCTCTCTTTCCTGGCTGTCTCTCCCCGCTCTCTCTCCTGGCTCAACTTGCTGTATTTTGCAAACAGTGCAGTGCAACAGGCTGTGTAAACTAATATTCTTTGATGTAATACATAGCAGCACTTCAACCACCAGTATCCACCAGAAAGGTGTCAGGGAGCTTGGCTCAGCAGACTCAGGCTAATAGGAAATCATGTGTGCACAGCGAAATAAATATACCAAAATGGAACAAAGGGGCCACCATTCACACCCTTCGTGATCTACCAGCATCAGCTTTGAGAGCTACTGGTAGATCATGATCTACCTAATGGGCACCCCTGCCCTAGAGTGTTCACTTCTCCTGCCTTCTCCAAACTCTTCACCCTTTTGTGAATAACCCTGTAAATTTTACTATGGTAAAACATACTGTAGGTTTGATACACAGTGTTGCTAATATCTTTTCTTTCAACATTAAAATTTGCAATTAACATCTTTTTATTCTCCGGTTTCAGAAAAAAATTGTAAGGTTTCGGGGGCTTTAACCAATCTTCAAGCTAAAGATTTAGCTTTTTTTACATGTGTGTGAAAAATAGAAAACTTGGTCTGGAAGCAAAAGGGTTACATGATGCTTTTAGTGTTTCTAAAGAATAAGAAAGGCCTTCCATGATCACCTGTATCAGTAAAGTACATAAAACTACATACATATACATGTTTAGAACAAATCTTACTTACCACTACCCAGCCTTCTGAGGTCCAGTGCACTGTGTACTTACTAACAAGGAAAGATCACTTTAGCACCACTATTTGGCCTACATCACAGTCATTTGTTTTTAGCTACATATATGAAAGGAAACAGTGACGTGCCTTCTGTGCTGGGTGAGGCACCCCCCAGCCTGCCAAAGCTCCGCCCCCGCCCTACCAAAGCTCCACCCCCACCCCACTGAAGCCCCGCCCCAGCTCGGTGACCAAGCTGTGTAGGGAGGAGGAAGGGAGGAGACAGGGAGGAGCCTCCCTGTTCCTCACTTGCTCGTCACTGGTGAATCACTGCTGAGGCATTGAGATCGATGGCATCAGTGGGTTTTTTTTTTATTGGACAGGTTGGATCAATGGCGCATTGCCATTGGTCCAAGCCATCCACAGAGCTCACGCCTCTAACACAGATTAGAGTCTGTGACAGCTCTTGCCTCACCAAGTTAGGTTACACAAGCAATGGGGAAGCCCGCTGCTGTTTAACCTAACGACCTGTCAAAAGCCGGATGCAGCGCTGCCTGTAATTAACAAGCAGCGCTCCGTTCATGACAGGGTACACAGCAGGGAGGCTGCTGTGTAACCTGTAACAAGCCACACTGAATGGAGAAAAAGCTGTCAGCTTCAGACTTGTAGCTGACACCTTTTTTCTTCATAATACTAGGTGAGGCTCTGCCTCCCCTGACCGCACATCCCTGAAAGGAAAGTATCCAGGAATGTTACATATATATACAGTACAGATATACAGTATAAGCTAAATAGATTGAAGCCTAATGTTCTTAATATAAAAACTAGGCATTAAACATTAGAGAAGAGTGGTGACGGGCTCTGTCACCTCCCTCAGCCTCTGTCCCTGGCCGCTGCGTCACAGCAGTTCCAGCACGGTACTGTGCTAGATCGCTTGTATTGGAGGTGTCATGTTCAATAAAGAGAACCTGTCACCTCCAAATGCTATTACACAGGGGCTTGTTAGTCCCTGTGTGATAGCAATAAAGTTAAGTGAAAAAAATTGTTTAGAAAAAGTAAAAAACAATAAAATAAAAAAGTAAAAAAATAATAATTAAAAATGTAACTAAATAAAAATGTAAAAAATAAAAAGGCGATAAAGTAAAAATAATCAAATGAAAATTAAAAAATGTTACAAAGTAAATAAAAATTTAAAAAATGAAAACCCCGCTGCCCCATCTGCGGCAGTGCAATTATCTTCTAATGGCAACCCAGTAGCGCCAGACAGATTGCGTGGTTTCCTGCCACAATACCACCCAGGGGTTGCGCACGATTGCAGTGGAAAACACCACGCAGATGTAACCCCAAACATACGGATGCAACCGCATCCCGTGATTGCCCAAGTCTGCACAAGCCCTAAAGAGTAAATTCACTTTCCCTAGTTATTTGGGAAAATGGAATTACCTACACAAATCTAACAAATGTTTGAGCGTTTAATAATACTTCAACATTTACAGCAGAGTAGGGTTGCCACCTTTTCTTCAAGCCAAACCCGAACACTCTAGCGCCGCATGGCAATTCTTTTTGTACAGTTTAATTTAGTAAAATAGTAACTAGGGATGCACCGATACCACTTTTTTAAGGCCGAGTACGAGTACCGATACTTTTTTTCCAAGTACTCGCCAATACCAATTACCGATACTTTTTCTTAAAGGGACAGGTCAAATGTTTTCTAAAGCAATACAAAATCATGATTTTAGGTCAGTTTCTTAATATTATGAAGAACATGAACACTCTGTAGTGTGGCACAGCTATATCCAATTCTGCATACCTGGCTTTATATTATAAGAACTTTATAATATAAAGCCAGGTATGCAGAATTGGATACAGCTGTGCCACACTATACAATAATACACTCTTCTGGAGTCTGGGCATGTGATCATCTATTTTCCCAAGAAAAAGAAGTGAGATGATCTGAGGGGATCAGCTCAAAGTACAGCTAGTAAAGAGGGTCGGAGAGTCAAAATATGATACAAAATATTATACATTTATT